CAAACTCAGGGCTGGCATGTTTGGACACCGTTCGGCACTCCAGAGAAGCCGGACCCAGATCTATGGATGGTAGGTACTAGGTAAAAATGTGTCACCTGCTACTCCAAATTAGGTCAAAAGAGCGGCAAAACTCACATTTTGGCTCAATCCCCCCTCGAAAAAGGAAATATAAACAGATTTTTGCATTGCAGCGATCTTAGAGTAGCGTTGGAAGTAACTGAGGGAGGTTATTCCGTTAGCAGTTACTCATCGTTCTTGACCTTCAGATGAAGTGTTTTTTCCCGGAATCAACATGGCATTCATTTGTTTCTTATTGATTACCACTATTTCATGTCGACGGTATCAGAGCACCTCAATTCGCTTTACAAATTTCTTTTTGAATGCGCACCGCATACCACATCCCTTCAAGATGTTGGTATCATTTGAAAGAATGCTCGTACTATACACTGCCTTACGATGGTCGACTCATGCCATATTCATTGTTTCTGCATTACCAAAGGAAGCGGTCCCACTAGGTCGATCCCTCAGGGTTCTTGAGCTCGATCCACCCAAATGGGTGTCATACCAATACTTTTAATGCTTGGGTTAGCACCTTTTACCCCTTTGCCACCTCATCATAACAATCCGACTAAGTTGCAAAGAGCAGATGCTGAATGGAAGCATGAGATCTAGGAAAGGCTTCCAAGGCATGCGGGGTCTTTTTGTAGGATAGATTGGTGCTGATTGTAATAATCTCGTTCATACCGAAAGGGAATCAAATGACATCGATAGAGCATTCACGATAACTCTTTCAGTGGGCGGGATTTGTACAAAGAGGTGGAGCCCATATATCAGTACGCGTACACAACTTGTACTTTGTTTTAGTTCTGATTTTCTCGACGAGACTGACCTCAACTCCCGTGTGTCCTCGGTTTACTCCATGAGAAGCATTGTCTAATGATGATGACGAACTGGACAGAGAAGGATGTTCCTTGATAGTCCGAAGTCCCTGAATCTCAGAGAGTTTCGCCTCGAATCGATCCCTCACATGGAACAGTCGACCTGAAACATGTAGAAATTCTGTCGCTATCTGCATATTCAAATACAGAAAATTCTTCCACTCGAGTCTATGAAAATAAAAAACTTCAGAGTTAGTGGCGCAGTGGACAGAGGCGTCTTGCCAGGCAACGGTTGCTGCTGCGACCAAAAAGCCTTGCGGCTGAAGTGGTAAACCGGTACAGAGCTTTTCTGATAGTCTAACAATCTCGGCAATTCAAAAAGCTGCTCTGAGCGTTTTCTTTTGAATTCCTCCTTTCCATCCGTGCCTTTTAGGCATGCCCTTTCGAGTACCACAAGCATTTTAACAAAAGAGGTGCAGGGCCTATATGTGCCCACCATGGGAGGGAAAAACGAACCGATAGCACAGCAAAGGTTTGGGAACTCATCCGATAAGGTGCTTAACATGCAAAAATAAAGGAATGTTCAAAAAAGCGAACGAAAACGAAAGAACGGGAGAAAACAGTGAAGGATGGTTAACCACATATCGGCCTCAATGGGGAATAAGGTGTTCCAACTGAAGCAACTTTCCGTGAAACTCAGAGGATCGACCACAGGAGATACAATGGATACCTCTTTGACTTACCAATAACAATTTGTCCGTGGTCATACTGATTTGGCAGCTGAACATCGTGCTCGTCCATTCGGCACCCACAATTTTTACACAGTTTTCTGGAAAGCTACTTTTATTCAATAAAAATTTCTTAATGTAATCCTTCATCAAGTAGTAGATTGGTTTGATAAGAGTCAGAATCGTGCAAAACGTCCTGGAATAAAGCCTTTCGTAATGCTAAGCTCTAACTCTGTAGAGGAAATCGCTGGGTGAATAGTCAGCATCACCAATCTTCGCTGTTACTGTCTTAACAGGGAGNGGGGGGGGGGGGGGGGGGGGGGGGGGAAGGGGACTCAACAGAAGTCTGAAGGTCACGTCAGACAATACGGAATACGGAATAATTAAAATGACTTCAAACTCTCATGGAAGCTAGGATTTTAAAAAATAGACTAGAGATTCCTGTGCGACATAAAAGCGAGCAAACCAGTTTTTTCGATTGCCCAAAAATGAAAATGGAACGGTGATGTTTCTGATGACTATAAGGAATAATTGTGTACGAAGCTTAGTCATTCACGAAGAGTTGCTGGCGTTTCTGAGAAGGAGCCTTCTCGGTAGCCTGTATACACTATCAAGCGATTTCGATAGTTATTTCGAAGACACAGCTATGTAAGTAGTGGTAAGTTCATGGTCGTATGAACACAGAACTCAATCCAACGCCTTCATGATGGTGATAACGCGCAATAAGTGAGGCGTACTCAGAAAGACATAGCCTTCTATCAAACCTCCTATCGTCTTTGTTTCCAGGAAATAAAAGCTCAGAAAAGAAATCAAGAATCAAGTGAGGAGCTCACCTCCAAAAATGTAGATCGAGCCCTGTGCAGTCGCATTTCCGACATAACGAGCCTTGACCGATTTCATGAGCCAAAACGTGCTGTAAATATCGTTATTATACAACCATCGAATTATTAGAAAGTAGCCAGCTCTCGAAACAAACCAAAAAACATTAGGTTGCCTCAGATTGTGGATGAAGGTCAAGTGCATGGCGCATCCCCAATGTACCAAGGGTTATCGAAATTTTTGTGGCTTCTATAACAGCGTAATGTTCTATGCCCTACCTGTTTACCCTGCCCGAGCTTATGTATTTCTGGATTCGTCGGGAAGCATGGCACCGTGACGACGTCCGGCGAGCGGATGTCGGCGCTCATCGAATCTGAACGGAGTATCCATTTTGTTTCCACTCAAAAAAATAGATCTAACAACCAGCGGTGGCGCATACTCCACGATATCGATAATGGTGATAATAGACGTGGGTAGGCTCAACAACAACGAAGGTACAACGAAGTATTTGAAATGGTAAACTCGCATGAGCACATTTATCGAGCGACTGGTGAAATCCATTTCATATTGGGACGACATCGTTCACTGCGCTATCAGATGACTTTTTGCATGAAATTACGGTCTACCAAAAAAGTCATCTCAGGTCGTGCCTCTATCTTCTGTTGTCATCTCGGGAAAAAAACTTGAAACATCCCACTCATTTTTCCTGCTCTTTCTTTTACTCGAAAGAATTTTGAGCTGCCATTCAACCCATTATTGGCGAATGAACTTTCGCGTCCTATGGAATGGAAAGATGTGAAACCCACTAAGCCCTAGAGAGAATTTGAAAAAACCCATCCAGAACTTAATTGATCTGATTTTTTCGAACAAACGGTCCACAACGGCAATTTATAAAGTAAGAGGAACCGGCATTAATGTCAGGTGAACTCTACGCCAAGTTGACTATTCTAAACCTGGGAATGATAACTTCGGAAGACCAATACCCTTACGCGAGTCCACCCGATAGCCACTAAATTATTTATGCAGTCAATTTCGGACTTCCGTGAGCTCTTTAATGATCGTGAGAAGCAAGACATCTGACATCTTGAAAGGGGTATGCTTCATAATAGCAATTATAAATTTATGAAGAATGTGAATGTAAGAAAAGCTTCGGAGCAGAGCACTTCACACTCATGATTAGTAGAAAAAAAATTGAGGGAAGGAAAGTGAACATGAATAAACATATACTGAAGAGGAATCCACGAATTGGAGTTGAGTGACCTATGACAAGTAGAAGGCAACAAACAAATAAGAATTCTCTCTTATTGAAATCCCTGATCCTGGCTTTATTAGGAAACAATTAAGTAGAGCTGACAAATTTGTTTACTAAGGGCTCCAAAGAAGCCCAGAGAGGGATTGTCCTGTGAAGCCTGAGAGTTAATGCACCTTTTTTGGAGATTATTCTGAACCCTCCGAAGTAGGCATTTCAAGTTTTTCTGAACACCGCGGACCTGCGAATAGAAAAGCGGTGGCTCGGAGTTTTGTAAATCATTCAAGATGTCGGGCTATGAGAAGCAAGCGAAACTTTTTTCGACTTTATAACAAAGTTAAGAAAAGAACATTACAAAGATTCCTTCTGTTGAGTTTCAAGAAGGGTTTGCAGAAGATTTGCTCTCGATCAATAAAATGATTTGGAGTAGTAAAGAAATGGAAAAAAAATATTCAGTGGTGATCAGAGATAACAAACGATAGAGGATGATCCAACAGTTAGAGAATCAAAAAACATAAGAACAGAGGATAGCAGGCTGTAACAAATATAACGATGAGGTCATTCAAGTCGCTGAGTTCCGTACGAGAATAATCGAATGAGTGGTGAAAAGACAAAAAACGTAAGTGTAGGAGGTACTTGAAAGTTACGTGAGCCTCCATCAGCGACCAATCCACTCATATGCAATTGTCCGGAGATCTCCAAGCATGTAAAGCGCACGTTTAACGCCAATCGACCCTCAGTGGGACCGGCAATAGTGAGATTTCAATTAAATGTGACGAATGGACGATGAATAAGAGCTCTGAAATTGGAACCACGTGCGACGAATGTAGTGGTCATGATGAATGGGATTGTCCACGGCAGGGTGCCCCACGGGAATGGAGCATGGGGATCGGGCTGGACCAAAAGCTTCAAACAAAACTCTATAAGTTGGATATTTACAAGAAAGCTTTAGAAGGAAAATCCTTCTACCTCAGAATACTTGTTCAGACAAAAAACTTTGTAGTCTCCAGGGCAAGGGACGATGTAGTGATTGGAGGCGTAGTATCATTGTCATGGTCCGTGGATGGAGTCTAAGATCGGTCGATGTAGCCGCAGAGCACAAAAGCACTGATTTGTACAAAGACTGACCCGGGCAAGCCATTCTTTAGGCTTATTACGCTTTCAAACACCACTGGTGATAAGATAATGATCGGGAGTCGAGTGCGCGAATGAGTTTTGAAAAAGATCTGATTAATTGGTACTTCCACGGCTCCTCCGAACTCAGAAAAACGATAGAGTAAAAAGCGAAAAGTGGTGAAGCTTTAGCGGTCGACTCACTTCTTCAGAACCACTTGATTTCCCTCTATTACCCTTTAATAACGACTCATAATCCTACACTATACAGCTTGTGCTATAGCTCTATGGACCGGAAAGAAGTTCCTGAAACGAGAGAATAGTTTGGCTGATCTCTGGAGCTGTCAATTTCACAAAAAGAATTTCTAGTCAACCAATTCATCCCAGGGAGGAGGTACTTACTTTGAGCAGCGAAATCTCAGGACGAACAAGTGACAGACATTTTTTTTCTGGATGTTTCCATTGAAAGCTTTTAGAGATAAGGGGACTGATGCACTTTCAGAGTCAGAATTGTTGCAGGAACACGGAGCTGTCTGCCTTTTAGAATTGCATAGAAAGGAGCAGTATTTAAAGGGGCGCTGGGCCGCAAGGTGGGACATCTATTACCAAAGAAGACTGATAATGGTTTGGTCTGAGAAAATCTGACTTCTGTCATTGCGATGTGGTAGCCAAAATGGTCAGACGACCCATGGGCGAGCTATCCCATAATTTAGAGCGTTTTTGGTCAATGCCTTCCCATCGAGCATTTAAGCACATCCAACATTTTTCTCTCGATGCAGGGATTTGAAATGGACCGAAGCGGGACACTGGTCCCGTCTACTCCACAGTGAAGAGTAATCTGTATACCTCAGATTTGCCTGAAGTACGTTTGTTTACAGTTTTAGTTCAGCCTCTGATTTCGAAGGGATTAGGTGTAGTCTCCAGTATGTTCTAGCAAACTTGCATACTCATGGGACTGGACGCATGCATCTTGCTCGAGAAATTGTTAGCAAACAACTACGGATATCTCTGGACGCCCACCAAGTAAGTGGGCAAGCAACCCGGGAAACTCTAACAGCAACACAGGAGAATAGTCGAGTGGGAGCTAAACCGGCATTTTCTTTCACCTGCTGGCAATTTGGAGGCTCGAGATTGGACTTGAGAAAAATGGCAGAGTATCTTTTCGAGTATTTTGAGCCGCCTATGACATATTACTCGAAAGGACACTAGCATTACTCATCAAGGGGCTGGTAGTTCAGAAAGATGTCCTTTTCCTTCTTTTCCCAGGAAAAGAGCAAAACGACAGAGTAGTGAAAAGCAGGCGAGTTTAGAAATGGAGTTTGGTGAAGTGAAGAGATAGAGAAAAAGGGAGAAGAAAGGAAATCGAGAAAGCTTCCCAGAAATTAGAAGCCCAAAATCGATCGGGTTGGTTGAAAGCGAGACGAGGACGGGACAGGGCAAGGCACTCAGATGGGGATGGCGCCGCCATTTTCTGTCTTCCCTAACACGATGAGCGTCTTCTAATTGAATTGCACAAGTTTTTCTTCGGAATTCCTAATTGACGACAATCGGTCCATCGGTCGGTAGATATGTGCAGGAGTTTAGCAATGGCGGAAGGGAAATGAAAAACAACCAAAGGAAAAAGCAAACAGGAATCACCCGAAGGGGTGACGATAGAATGAGTTTTGGAACTTTTTCAATGAGCAACTACCTCCCACTGTAGATGGTCCTCTAAGAGAAACTGCTTTATTGGAACCAAAGGATGATTTTGATAAGAATTTCACCTGAAGGGTTTCTAGATTGAATCCAAGGGCCATTTAGTGGGGTGGGCTGGTTCATGCTATATTTGTTTAGGATCTGAGCTTGAATTATGCACCGGATAGTCCTGAACACAGCTGCGGACCCTTTCAATTCAGTCGTAATACGGAGTGGATGGTTTGGAGCATAAACAGAGGGAACAAAGGGCTGTTAGATA